CACTGAGTCCGTAGGTGAGTTGCAGCGATGAGACAATATCGTAACTACCAATTGGATATCACGAAAAAGGGGGTAATACCATTGGCCAGAAAAGTTTGAATACATTGGCCATGCTGTCAATCCAGCATGACTTCTGCCGTGTTCAAAACAACTGGAAACTCGGAACTGGGAAATCTCAGACTTCAGTGAGTTCAAGACAACTGGGCCTCTTTCTAGAGCCCACAAGAAGGACCGCCGCACCACCTTCCTGTTCAAGTGAGCACAGCACAACAAGGTGAGTCCAGAAATGTCTTGTATGCTGCTGCATAAATGATGTAATATGCCAGGGAGATATGTATACTGTCAACAAGTTATATAAGTGATGTGCACTGTTAGTAGATGTGCCACCCTACTATCTGGTCCCTTCCCCTCTAATTGAGCCTTCTGTTCTGACTTGTGGTGCACATGTAATAGCTGTTTTAAGACTGTAATATCGAATATTGTAAGAGCTTTCATTGTCTGCTTATATGGCCCCATTATATATCTTCATTCTGATTGCTATACAGTCTGCTGGCAGACCACCCCAGGCCTTAAATGTTTTTACGAAGCCACTCCTTCTTGCCCGGGGGTTGTTTGGGATCATTGTCTGCTGAAAGCCCCCGCCACTTTTCATCTTAAATGCCCTTTGCGATGGAAGGAGGTTTTCACTAAACACTCACGTAATGGCCCCATTCTTCTTTTTTTTACATGGATCAGTCGTCCGGGCCCTTTTTGCAGAAAAACACCCCAAAGCTGAGTTTCCACCCCCATGTTCACAGTAGGTATGGTGTTTTTTTTGGATGAACTCAGCTTCTTTGTCCCCAAAACACGAGTAGTTTTTACCAAAAAATTTTATATTTTGGTTCATCTGCCCATAGACATTCCCCCCCAATCCTCTTCTGGATCACCACATGCACTCTACAAATTCAGGGGGCCGGCATTTTACGGAAGGGGGGGACACCTGGCATTGCGGTTTTGAGCCCGGCGGGGTAGGTGTTCTGATGGTGGCTTTGTTACTTTTGGTCCCAGCTCTTCAGGTCTTCACTAGGTCCCCCCGTGGGGTTCTGGGATTTTTTGCCACCTTTGTGATATTTTGACCCCCCGGGGTTTTTAATCTTGGTGGAGCCCCGACGGGGGATTTTCAGTTCTTCCCTTTCCAATAATTGCCCCCACAGTTATTTTTTTAAACCCAAACGTTACCATTTCAGACAGACTTTCCCGGTGAGGTCTACAATTTTTTTTTCTGGTGTCCTTTGAAGCTTTTTTGGTCTGGCCATAGTGGGGTTTTTAGGTGACTGTTTTTAGGGGTTGGGACAGGTGTCTTTATACTGATAACAAATTAAACAGGGCCCCTTAAAACAGGTAAACGAGTGGAGGACAGAGGAGCCTCTTAAAGAAGAATTACAGTTTTTTGTGGGGGGAGCAGAATCTTGTTTTTTTGTAGGTGACCAAATATTATTTTCCACCATAATTTTTCAAATAAATTTATTAAAAAAACCAAATTGAATTTCGGGGTTTTTTTTTTCCTCAATTGTAAAACGTTGCCCATGTATCTGAAATGTTCAGCTGTATACTGTAGCTACCAAGTCTAATAAGTGTATGTTGCGTAGTAAGCTGTTAGTAAGCCCAGTGTGCCGCACCCTAATAATTTGGTCCCTTTCCCCCTCATATTTACCTTCTGTTCTGAACTTGGTGGTGCACATGTAGCCTATAGCCTGTTTTTAAGAGAAATGTAATCATCGAATATTGTAAGAAGCTTCATTGTCTGCGTATAGGGCCCCCTTTAATTTATCCGACAGTTCTGACTTGGGTTACAGGGAGAATACTGTAAGAAACGGCCCCAGTTCTGAAATTGTGCGCTGTACAGTTTGTCAAGGTGCTGAACAAATAGTTACATTGAATACGTCCAGCCTAAGCTGCGCTCATTGTCTTAATCAAAATTACGGATTGCCTCTCATCCGCTCGTCATCCCCTTATGCCATAGTTTGACACTCAATGCAGTTTGAGACCACATTTGTTTAGCAAGTGCCATATCAGCTTTTTTTTTTAAAAAGGGTTAAAAATTTGGCTGAAGAAAAAGTTTAACCGTTTTTTCCTTTTTGTCAATTAAATTTTTTTTGCTTAAAAAAAAAATTTCCCCTCCCCTTTTTCTCTAAAAACGCCCTGGTCTTTGGGAAAAAGGGTATTTAACCCCAAATTTTAAAATACTTGTTTTTGGAGAGAGGGTTACAGAGGCGCAATTATTTGATGGATAGTTCTGGTTGCCTAGTGATGGACTTTAGTCCCGCTTCAGAAGCGGCATAATGGCATTTTTTTTTACAGACAAAAACAGTCCGTTTCATATCACCGATAAAGGGTTTTTTGTCAGCATTTTAAAAAACCCTAGTTATAGTACCTACCCTACCCTAACAGACGCAAACAAAATGCGTAGCCCAGGGCTTTCAAGGGGGGTCACATAGCATTATGTCTGAAAAGTGTAATCGATACAGGCTACCGGTAGCCCTGTATCGATTTCAGGAGGCAAAAACGAAGAGTAGGCTACCCCGTGATCGCAAGACTGGCCCGAAGCAATCTGTGCCATGAACAGGCTAGGATATTCTACACGCAACAGACCAAAGACTGAACACACACTAGCATCATTGTCTCTTAGATAGAGTAGGCAGAGCAGGCAGGCCAGCGCGAAGGAGAGAGGAACAAGGCAGAAGCGTGCTCATACATTTAGGTAATCTGCATCTCGCAATGTCTTGTCTTGCATGCCTTGCAAATTCACCAAGTTGCCTAACGTTCGCCTCTAACTATCTTGTTTTATTTGAATAACACAACTTCCCCAGGCCTTTATAGCCTATAAACACGGAAAATAATACACTATATATAGAAAAATATGTGGACACCCCTTCAAATTAGTGGATTCGGCTATTTCCGCCACACCAGTTGCTGACAGGTGTATACAAATGAGCACACAGCCATGCAATCTCCATTGACAAACATTGGCAGTAAAGTGGCCTTACTGAAGAGCTCAGTGACTTTCAATGTGGCACCGTCATAGGATGCCACCTTTCCAACAAGTCCGTTTGTCAAATTTCTGCCCTGCTTGAGCTGCCCCGGTCAACTGTAAGTGCTGTTATTGTGAAGTGGAAACAGTCTAGGAGCAACAACTGCTGCGAAGTGGTAGGCCACACAAGCTCACAGAATGGGACCGCCGAGTGCTGAAGCGCTTAGTGCGTAAAAATCCTCTGTCCTTACATTTACATTTACATTTTAGTCATTTAGCAGACGCTCTTATCCAGAGCGACTTACAGGAGCAATTAGGGTTAAGTGCCTTGCTCAAGGGCATCACTCACTACAGAGTTCCAAACTGCCTTTGGAAGCAACGTCAGCACAATAACTGTTTGTCGGGAGCTTCATGAAATGGGTTTGCATGGCCGAGCAGCCGCACACAAGCCTAAGATCACCATGCGCAATGCCAAGAGTCGGCTGGAGTGGTGTAAAGCTCGCCGCCATTGGACTCTGGAGCAGTGGAAACGCGTTCTTGGAGTGATGAATCACGCCTCACCATTTGGCAGTCCGACGGACTAATCTGGGTTTGGCGGATGCCAGGAGAACGCTACCTGCCCGAATGCATAGTGCTAACTGTAAAGTTTGCTGGAGGAGGAATAATGGTATGGGGCTGTTTTTCATGGTTCGGGCTTGGCCCCTTAGTTCCTGTGTAGGGAAATCTTAATGCTACAGCATACAATGACATTCTAGACGATTCTGTGCTTCCAACTTTGTGGCAACAGTTTGGGGAAGGCCCTTTCCTGTTTCAGCATGAAAATGCCTCCGTGCACATATCAAGGTCCATACAGAAATGGTATGTCGAGATCGGTGTGGAAGAACTTGACTGGCCTGCAGAGCCCTGACCTCAACCCCATTCAACACCTTTGGGATGAATTGGAACACTAACTGCGAGCCAGGCATAATGGCCCGACCTCACTAATGCTCTTGTGGCTAAATGGAAGCAAGTCCCAGCAGCAATGTTCCAACATCTAGTGGAAAGCCTGTTATAGCAGCAAAGGGGGGACCAACTCCATATTAATGCAAATGATTGTGGAATGAGATGTTCGATGAGCAGGTGTCCAAATACTTTTGGTCATGTAGTGTACGTTTTGTGATAATGCAACTGTTTTTATTTTATTAAGTGGGGTACAGTTGTATAGGACACCAAATGTTGCTTTGTAGCACCTACAAATGAAACATGGGTCTTAAAGGAGGCCTGGGTAAGGCCAAAATGTCACAAATATTCTAACTTCAAATAATTACTTCTCAATTATGCTTTAAGATACAAATGTCAAATATATGTCAATAATCGTTCCTCCAAAGGACCCTTCTATGCATTACATTAAAAAGGGTTCTAGTGTCGTGAGGAATAATCATTATATAAAAGTAGATTTATTATATGAATGGTTATCTAAACGTTATTTTCAGTAGAATCATGAACGGAGAATCAAAAACAGAGTGAGCGGTTTCAAATGCTGATATCAGGAAGGTGATGTTCTGCCTGTTCTAGGAGAGATAAATCTACAGGTACTGTATTTACCTCCAGGAGATGAGGTTTCCCCAGACCAGGGTACCTGTGGGGATTCTGGGAATAAAGAAGAGGTGAGTGAGTAGCTTGGTTCTAGAGTGCTGGTGCACATCCTAACCTGTTTAGCCTACTAAAAACATAGTCAGAATGGAAAGGAATAAACCAGAGAATTCTGATGGAATGGGTTCTAATTCTATTCATTCTAATTCTGGGACTCAAAAACTCATTGCAACTGTGAATAGACAAGGGTTTTCCTATGCAGAATATGATGGGAAAGTTAAAGGGGTATCAAGATGGCTTTATTGACCGCTCTACAAATCCAACCATATTAAACCCTGTATAAACGCAACCATTGACAGTCTACCATTCAGTCAGCACTCTCTCTCCTTGCAACTGCTGGGTCGCCAGGTCCGTTTCAAGGGCCAGGAGTGCGCTGGCGTCCGGGAACCCTGAGCCTTCCTCCTCCTCTTCTCTGCGTCCAGGTACGAGATGAGCCGAACAACGATCTCTCGACCACCAACAGGCCTTGCTCGCCAGGCACCTGTCCAGAGCTTCCTGAATTCTTAATTACTGTTCTTTCACCGATATTAATTCCCTTTACATCTTTACAGCCTATCAGTCTGATAGGGAATCCATCTTGTTGACAGGTTAATGGAAATTAAGTCTTAATTATTGTACTTCGGTTCACCACTGCACGAATACAAATTCATAAGGATGTAGCCTAGTGGCAGGTAGCGTTGCGCCAGTAACCGAAAGGTCGCAGGTTCTAATCCCTGAGCCGACCAAGCTGAAAAATCTGTTGGTGTGCCTTGAGCAAAGCACTTAACCCCTATTGCTCTTGTAAGTCACTATGGATAAGAGCTTCTGCTGACTGACTAAAATGTCATGTTTAAAATCTTCACATCCTAACTTATACATTTTTTTCCACTAATGGTTAAGGTTAGGATTGGGGGAGAGGAAGCTGATCCTAGATCTGTACCTAGGGGAAACTTCACCCTGGAACACTCAGGGCAGCCCAACATCCAGTGGCCTGCTGCCAGTGTGGACGAGGAGGTGCTTCTTCATGTGGCCAGACTGGGTGAAGCACTTCCCACAGTAGACACATTGAAACGGTTTCTCTCCGGTGTGCACCCTCTCATGCATCTTCAGCTGGTGGCTGTGGGAGAAACGCTTGGTGCAGTGGCTGCAGCCGAACGGTTTCTCCCCCGTATGGACCCGCATGTGACTCCGCAGGTGCGCCGGCTGGTGGAAAAGTTTTCCGCAGAGAGTGCACCGGAGCTGCCTCTTGGTGGAGTGAGACGTCAGCTGTTGCGGCTGCTTTTCTATGCCTTTCGATGAAGAAGTTGAGCCTCTGTTGAAATTCGGGAAGGGGGCTTGCTTCCCTCTTTGGGGAACCTGTTGGAGAGTAACCCTTGGGGATGAAAAGCTGTTTGGGTTGGACAGTCCGTTGAAATCTGGCAACTTGTATCTTGATCCTACAGTTGTCCCTTGCTCTGTGTTTTGAGTGTCAGTGGGACACTTTGTCTGTCCAGACTCTATTCCCCCTCTTCCTCTGTTGTCCACAAGCTGCCTGCCCTCTGAATAGACCTCTCCAGATGTCACCTCTTGACCTGTTATGCTCCATTCTGAACTCATATCTGCCTCCACTTTAATAGGAACCGAGTCCACCAGCATCACATCAGGCAGCCAGTCCAGAGAGCCCAAAGCAGACATGCAGACCCCAGAGTTACCAGGCGCCCCACTCCTCTCTGGATGTTCAGACAGCCTCTTGGAGTCTGGCCCTGCATTGTGAGGAGCATTCACAGTTCGGTTGTCAGTCTCTTGGTTCTCTGTCCATTGGGACAGGCTGTATGCTATGGGTTGATGGTCAGTTTCCAAGGTGACACACTCAGCAACCTGATGGTCCTGTCTTGCTCTGTTGTATTGTGATGCTGGATGCTGGAACGTCTGGTTTTCAGGTTCTATATTGAGTGTGGTGTCTGGAGCTCTGTGTCTGTTGCCCTGCTGGTCCAGAAGGTCTGTGGTTTCAGTAGATGATGAAGAACCTGGTTCTGCCACAACAATCTTTTCACTGACCGGTTGGACAATCTCTGAAATGGGGCAAAGTAAAGCACAACATCAGCTTCCTGTAGTGGAGACTGATTCTTCTTTGCCTTGTTTATTAATTATGGGTAATGACTAAGAAGTTAATCAAATACCGCAATAAAGGCTTTACTTAACAAAGTGTAAATTGGATAGATTTGTTAAGTTGCATAAACATACCTTCTGTTCTGCTGGTATCAAAGTTCTCCAATTTGATAAGAGGTGCCTCTTGCATATCTCCTATCTGTTTTGTGCATTCATCAGAAACATTTTATTAGAAAAAATATCCCCAACACCATTTTAAATATGGGAAAACAATGATTGGGGGCATTTCCCTGTGTAAAATGCAGTCTTTCAGATGGGTCTTTAAAGGGTGTCCTGACTCTCTTTGGTCACTAAAGATCCCATGGCACTTATCATAAGAGTAGGGGTGTTAACCCTGGTGTCCTGGCTAAATTCCCAATCTGGCCCTCATACCTCATTCACCCCGCCTCCTTTCCCATGTAACTATACCCCAGGTCCTTGCTGTACATGAGCATGTGTTCTCAGTCAACTTACCTGGTAAAATAAGGGTAAAATAAAAATAAAAATCCCACCACCATTTGAAATATGTGAACACAAATAATTATTTGACCATGTCCATGACAGCTGACCTGCATGACGCCATCCTGGTCTGTCCAGTTGGTGACAACCTGCATACAGTTGCCTCTTTCACTGTAGGCAAAACGATTTTCCACTGCACCTGAAAAGAGAACCCTTCATGAACGTTATATATTCTACATTAACAATTATTTTGAACGTTTTAAAATAAGGTAAAAAACCTACAATATCCAAGTCTGCCTGTTGACTTTCCTACGAAGCTCTCTCTTTCCCGGGCAACATGATCGGTGTCCACTCGCCTGTGAACTGTGCGTCGCAGGGCTCCGAATCTCTCTGCGCTCCGTCGAGAATTCTGGAACTTTGTCAAAAGCAGCTTCCTCCGCAAGTTCTCGATTTCTTTCTGGCTATGGGAAATTTCCAAACGTAAGGCAGCATGGCCGTCATCTACAAGTTTGCAGATTTCGGCAACGGCTGCATTCGCCAAAACCTCAATGATGGAGGCTAGCTGAGCATGAAAGGCAACGGTATCGGTCATGTCCTTGGCACTATGTCTATGTTAAACACTTATGTTATAGTAATTTGCATTGCAGTGTAGTCAACGTCTTGAGACTACACAGTTCACACCATAGACGGTATGTTTCACACACATCTCTTTTGTTTGTTGTTGTTACGCTATTTCCTGGATCGTTTTTTAGAATAATGGTTGGCTTTTCAAAATAAAAGGTTGGTTACACACGACTTATGTTATAATAATAATATGCCATTTAGCAGACGCTTTTATCCAAAGCGACTTACAGTCATGTGCGCATACATTTTTACGTATGGGTGGTCCCGGCGAACCCACTACCCTGGCGTTACAAGCGCCATGCTCTACCAATTGAGCTACAGAGAACCACAACTTCCAAAATTGCCACCTTCTGCTGTATCATATTCTAGCCGCTACTAAAAGGAATAAATACATTCCTTCAGTTAAACAAATGTGTGCACAAAATCTTTTCTGGGATATTTTATTTCCGCTCATGAAACCAACACGTTTATATATTTGTTCAGTGTAGTTGTTTAGCTATTACTCAGGACAATAAGAAACCCCATTGGCTATTTATCATTTCTATATTCAGATTTTAAAAAAATATTTCTACCGTTACATTGTTCAGAGTCAGATTGCATTCTCAGTGGGGTGCTTCAGTTAGTTTTGAGACTACTACATCAAAGAGAAGGCTAAGGGTTAGTAGTCTCAAAACTAACTGAAGCACACACTGAGAATGCACTCTGACTCTGAACAATGTAACGGTAGAAATTTTTTTTAAAAATCTGAATATAGAAATGATAAATAGCCAATGGGGTTTCTTATTGTCCTGTGTAATAGCTAAACAACTACACTGAACAAAAATATAAACGTGTTGGTTTCATGAGCGGAAATAAAATATCCCAGAAATGTTCAATACGCACAAAAAGCTTTTTTTATACGATTTTGTGTACAAATTTGTTTACATCCCTGATAGTGCGCATTTCTCCTTTGCCAAGATAATCCATCCACCTGACAGGTGTGGCATATCAATAAGCTGATTAAACAGCATGATCATTACACAGGTGCGCCTTGTGCTGGGGAAAATGAAAGGACAACTCTAAATGTGCAGTTGTGTCACACAACACAATGCCACAGATGTCTCAAGTTTCGAGGGAGTGTGCAATTGGCATGCTGACTGCAGGAATGTCCACCAGAGCTGTTGCCAGAGAATTGAATGTTCATTTCGCTACCATACCATAAGCCGCCTCCAACGTCGTTTTAGAGAATTTGGCAGTACGTCCAAACTGCCTCACAACCGCAGACCACGTGTAACCAGGCCAGCCCAGGACCTCCACATTCGGCTTCTTCACCTGCGGGATCGTCTGAGACCAGCCACCTGGACAGCTGATTAAACTGTGGGTTTGCACAAGCGAATAATTTCTGCACAAACTGTTAGAAACTGTCTCAGGGAAGCTCATCTGCGTGCTCGTAACCGACTTCAGTGGGCAAATGCTCACCTTTGATGGCCACTGGCACGCTGGAAAAGTGTGCTCTTCACAGATGAATCCCGGTTTCATCTGCACCTGCCAGATGGCACAGCCCCGTCGCAAGAATCTGTACACAATTCCTGGAAGCTGAAAATGTCCCAGTTCTTCCATGGCCTGCAAACTCACCAGACATGTCACCCATTGAGCATGTTTGGGATGCTCTAGATTGATGTGTACGACAGCGTCTTCCAGTTCCCGCCAATATCAAGCAACTTCAAACAAAATTCCAGACACAATCAATAGCTTGATCAACTCTATGCGAAGGAGATGTGTTGCGCTGCATTGGGCAAATGGTGGTCACAGCAGATACTGACTGGTTCTCTGACCCACGCCCCTACTTAAAATAAAAAAAATATGCATTTCTGTATTCCCAGTCTTGTGAAATCCATAGATTAGGGCCTAATGCATTTATTTCAATTGACTGATTTCCTTATACAGTGAGGGAAAAAAGTATTTGATCCCCTGCTGATTTTGTACGTTTGCCCACTGACAAAGAAATGATCAGTCTATAATTTTAATGGTAGGTTTATTTGAACAGTGAGAGACAGAATAACAACAACAAAATCCAAAAAACGCAATTTCCAAAATTTTATAAATTGATTTGCATTTTAATGAGGGAAATAAGGGGGGTAAGGGAGGGGTAGAAGGATTACTTTATCCTATCCCAGGTATTCCTTAAAGAGGTGGGGTTTCAAATGTCTCCGGAAGGTGGTGAGTGACTCCGCTGTCCTGGCGTCGTGAGGGAGCTTGTTCCACCATTGGGGTGCCAGAGCAGCGAACAGTTTTGACTGGGCTGAGCGGGAACTATGCTTCCGCAGAGGAAGGGGAGCCAGCAGGCCAGAGGTGGATGAACGCAATGCCCTCGTTTGGGTGTAGGGACTGATCAGAGCCTGAAGGTACGGAGGTGCCGTTCCCCTCACAGCTCCATAGGCAAGCACCATGGTCTTGTAACAGATGCGAGCTTCAACTGGAAGCCAGTGGAGTGTGCGGAGGAGTGGGGTGACGTGAGAGAACTTGGGAAGGTTGAACACCAGACGGGCTGCGGCATTCTGGATGAGTTGTAGGGGTTTAATGGCACAGGCAGGGAGCCCAGCCAACAGCGAGTTGCAGTAATCCAGACGGGAGATGACAAGTGCCTGGATTAGGACCTGTGCCACTTCCTGTGTAAGGCAGGGTCGTACTCTCCGAATGTTGTAGAGCATGAACCTACAGGATCGGGTCACCGCCTTGATGTTAGCGGAGAACGACAGGGTGTTGTCCAGGGTCACGCCAAGGCTCTTCGCACTCTGGGAGGAGGACACAACGGAGTTGTCAACCGTGATGGCGAGATCATGGAACAGGCAGTCCTTCCCCGGGAGGAAGAGCAGCTCCGTCTTGCCAAGGTTCAGCTTGAGGTGGTGATCCGTCATCCATACTGATATGTCTGCCAGACATGCAGAGATGCGATTCGCCACCTGGTTATCAGAAGGGGGAAAGGAGAAGATTAGTTGTGTGTCGTCAGCGTAGCAATGATAGGAAAGGCCATGTGAGGATATGACAGAGCCAAGTGACTTGGTGTATAGCGAGAATAGGAGAGGGCCTAGAACTGAGCCCTGGGGGACACCAGTGGTGAGAGCACGTGGTGCGGAGACAGCTTCTCGCCACGCCACTTGGTAGGAGCGACCGGTCAGGTAGGACGCAATCCAAGAGTGAGCCGCACCGGAGATGCCCAGCTCGGAGAGGGTGGAGAGGAGGATCTGATGGTTCACAGTATCAAAGGCAGCAGACAGGTCTAGAAGGACAAGAGCAGAGGAGAGAGTTAGCTTTAGCAGTGCGGAGAGCCTCCGTGACACAGAGAAGAGCAGTCTCAGTTGAATGACCAGTCTTGAAACCTGACCAGTCTCCACCATGGCCAAGACCAAAGAGCTCTCCAAGGATGTCAGTAACAAGATTGTAGACCTACACAAGGCTGGAATGGGCTACAAGACCATCGCCAAGCAGCTTAGTGAGAAGGTGACAACAGTTGGTGTGATTATTCGCAAATGGAAGAAACACAAAATAACTGTCAATCTCTCTCGGCCTCCATGCAAGATCTCACCTCGTGGAGTTGCAATGATCATGAGAACGGTGAGGAATCAGCCCAGAACTACACGGGAGGATCTTGTCAATGATCTCAAGGCAGCTGGGACCATAGTCACCAAGAAAACAATTGGTAACACACTACGCCGTGAAGGACTGAAATCCTGCAGCGCCCGCAAGGTCCCCCTGCTCAAGAAAGCACATATACAGGCCCGTCTGAAGTTTGCCAATGAACATCTGAATGATTCAGAGGAGAACTGGGTGAAAGTATTGTGGTCAGATGAGAACAAAATCGAGCTCTTTGGCATCAACTCAACTCGCCGTGTTTGGAGGAGGAGGAATGCTGCCTATGACCCCAAGAACACCATCCCCACCGTCAAATATGGAGCTGGAAACATTATGCTTTGGGGGTGTTTTTCTGCTAAGGGGATAGGACAACTTCACCGCATCAAAGGGACGATGGACGGGGCCATGTACCGTCAAATCCTGGGTGAGAACCTCCTTCCCTCAGCCAGGGCATTGAAAATGGGTCGTGGATGGGTATTCCAGCATGACAATGACCCAAAACACACGGCCAAGGCAACAAAGGAGTGGCTCAAGAAGAAGCACATTAAGGTCCTGGAGTGGCCTAGCCAGTCTCCAGACCTTAATCCCATAGAAAATCTGTGGAGGGAGCTGAAGGTTAGAGTTGCCAAACGTCAGCCTCGAAACCTTAATGACTTGGAGAAGATCTGCAAAGAGGAGTGGGACACAATCCCTCCTGAGATGTGTGCAAACCTGGCGGCCAACTACAAGAAACATCTGACCTCTGTGATTGCCAACAAGGGTTTTGCCACCAAGTACTAAGTACTGTTTTGCAGAGGGGTCAAATACTTATTTCCCTCATTAAAATGCAAATCAATTTATAACATTTTTTGACATGTGTTTTTCTGGATGTTTTTGTTGTTATTCTGTCTCTCACTGTTCAAATAAACCTACCATTAAAATTATAGACTGATCATGTCTTTGTCAGTGGGCAAACGTACAAAATCAGCAGGGGATCAAATACTTTTTTCCCTCACTGTATGAACTGTAAATCAGTAAAATCTTTGAAATTGTTGCATTTATATTTTTGTTCAGTGTAAATAACATTTAGGAACTTTTTGTTTTTACAATGACATTGTACATTCAAAAACATTGCTAACTAGATGGTAACTTTACATAAAGTAAAGTTATGGGGCTTGCTTTAGCTCCTAAAAGTGGAAGAAGCTGAAAAAGTTATACTTTACTATTTAATGCAAAGCATTTACATAGTAAAATTAAAATGTAGTAAAACAATTGGTCTGATTACTTTGATAGACTACTACATCAACCTTATTGCTTTGGATTGTGGGGCCGTCAGATCAAAAATGTCCAAACTACAGTTGTTGCGTGTGAAAACTGAAATAAAAAACACATAGGACAAAGCGACTACCTCATGAAGCTGGTTGAGAGAATGCCAAGAGTGTGCAAAGCTGTCATCAAGGCAAAGGGTGGCTACTTTGAAGAATCTAAAATATATTTTGATTTGTTGAACACTTTTTTGGTTACCACATGATTCCATATGTGTTATTTCATAGTTTTGATGTCTTCACTATTATTCTACAATGTAGAAAATAGTAAAAATAAAGAAAAACCCTTGAATGAGTAGGTGTGTCCAAACTTTTGACTGGTACTGTAATGGTTTATGTCATCATTCACAGTAACCACAATGTACTGGCTTCTCCTCCTGTCAGATACTACTGGGGTTCATGATTTGTCTGGCTAACCAAACCCTAAGCCACGCCCACGGACGTCAGTTTCTTCAGAGCAATGCGTCTAGATTTGAGTACCTCTCCGACCCTTCACCGAATGCGAACACATTCAGGGCTGTCTGATTGGTCCAGAAACCGATTGGGTTGTGCCAGAGTCAGAAAACACGTGATTAAAGCTGCGGTTTGAAAATGTGTCATTGCCGTGGATACTCTTAATTGGTTAGAGACGATCCAATTACTGTTTACTTTATTTTGTACCACACCCCTCGTGCCCCTCGTCACCACAAACGACTTCAATGATGGCAGTCTCAGACTAAAGTATGTAGCGAACGACTGAGCAGCGGAAGGATTTAGTGTTAGTCGTCAGGCTAGCTCAGGATCGGGTCTCTGTCATAACTTATACATTATCAATCCACTCTGGACCAAGCATCAAGCCAGTAAACTGAAAACACAACCACTACACACCGGAACCATTCAATGTGGAAACCATCCAAACTGTTAAAAACACTGACCCAGTTTTCATATGGAAACCCAACGAGTGTGGAGCCATTCCCCTTACAACTAGGGCCAGGAGTTTTCCCATGGTCTGGTCACGTTCTGAGGGAAAACTCCTACGCCGGGTGGAGTATTATGAAGTTGCCCCTAGATGCTGATCTTGGGGCAGTTAAGAATGTATTTCTACTAATGGTTAAGGTTAGGATTGGGGGAGAGGAAGCTGATCCTAGATCTGTACCTAGGGGAAACTTCACCCTGGAACACTCAGGGCAGCCCAACATCCAGTGGCCTGCTGCCAGTGTGGACGAGGAGGTGCTTCTTCATGTTGCCGGACTGGGTGAAGGACTTCCCACAGTAGACACATTGAAACGGTTTCTCTCCAGTGTGCACCCTCTCATGCATCTTCAGCTGGTGGCTGTGGGAGAAGCGCTTGGTGCAGTGGCTGCAGCCGTATGGTTTCTCCCCCGTATGGACCCGCATGTGACTCCGCAGGTGCGCCGGCTGGTGGAAGGGCTTTCCGCAGAGGCTGCACCGGAGCTGCCTCTTGGCCGAACAAGACGTTAGCTGTTGCGGCTGCTTTTCTATGGCTTTCGATGAAGAAGTGGAGCCTCTATTGAAATTTGGGAAGGGGGCTTGCTTCCCTCTTTGGGGAACCTGGTGGAGAGTAACCCTTGGGGATGAAAAGTTGTTTGGGGAGGACAGTCCTTTGAAATCTGGCAACTTGGACCTTGATCCTACAGTTGTCCCTTGCTCTGTCTTTTGAGTGTCAGTGGGACACTTTGTCTGTCCAGACTCCATTCCCCCTCTTCCTCTGTTGTCCACAAGCTGCCTGCGCTCTGAACAGACCTCTTCAGATGTCACCTCTTGGCCCGTTATACTCCATTCTGAACTCATATCTGCCTCCACTTTAATAGGAACCGAGTCCACCAGCATCACATCAGGCAGCCAGTCCAGAGAGCCCAAAGCAGACATGCAGACCCCAGAGTTACCAGGCAACCCTATCTTCTCTGGATGTTCAGACAGCCTCTTGGAGTCTGGCCCTGCATTGTGAGGAGCATTCACAGTTTGGTTGTCAGTCTCTTGCTTCTCTGTCCATTGAGACAGGCTGTATACTATGGGTTGATGGTCAGTTTCCCAGGTCACACACTCAGCAACCCTGATGGTCCTGCCTTGCTCTGTTGTATGGTGACGCTGGATGCTGGAACGTCTGGTTTTCAGGTTCTATATTGAGTGTGGTGTCTGGAGCTCTGTGTCTGTTGCCCTGCTGGTCCAGAAGGTCTGTGGTTTCAGATGATGATGAAGCACCTGGTTCTGCCACAATTATCTTCTCACTGACCGGTTGAACAATCTCTGAAATGGGGCAAGGTAAAGCACAACATCAGCGTCCTATAGTGGAGACTGATTCTTCTTTGCCTTATTAGTTATGGGTAATGACTAAGAAGTTAATGAAATACTGCAATAAACATTGAAGGCTTTACACAAGCAACATAAAGTGTAACTTGCATAGATTAGATAAATTCAACAAAAATACCTTCTGTTCTGCTGGTGTCAAGGTTCTCCATTTTGATAAGAGGTGCGTCTTGCATATCTGCCATCTGTGTTTTGTATTAATCATTAACATTTAATTAGAAACATTTCCCCAACACCATCTGAAATATGAGAAAACAAATAATACATTTTACCAGGTCTATGACAACTGACCTGCATGCCCCCATCCTGGTCTGTCGCTGTGCATCCTGAGTCTCTCCAGTTGGCGACATCCTGCGTAAAGTTGCCCCCTTCACTGTCGGCGAAACAATTCTGCACTGCACCAGAAAAGAATTAACGCTCATAAACGTTATATATTTCACAAGACCCATTATTTTTAACGTTTTGAAATAAGGTAAAAAACCTACAATATCCAAGTCTGTCGGACTTTCCTACGAAGCTCTCTCTTGCCCGGGCAAAATGATCGTTGTCCACGCGTCTGTGAACTGTGCGTCGCAGGGCTCCGAATTTCTCTGCGCTCCGTCGAGAATTCTGGAATTTGGTCAAAAGCAGCTTCCTCCGCAGGTTATCAATTTCTTTCTGGCTATTGGAAATTTCCAACCGTAAGGCAGCATGACCGTCATCTACAAGTTTGCAGATTTCGGCAACGGCTGCATTCGCCAAAACCTCAATGATGGAGGCTAGCTGAGCATGAAAGGCTACTGTATCGGACATATCCTTGTTAAACGCTTATGTTATAGTAATTTGCATTGCAGTGTTCAGTCAACGTCTTCAGACTTCACAGTTTACAACACAGACGGTACGCTTCTTCACACGTCTCTTTTTGTTCCATAAACAAAATAATGTCGGCTACTTCCTGGATCGTTTTTCAAAAGAAAGGTTGGCTTTTCAAAATAAAGGTTTATTACACACGACTTATGTTAGTTCCAACTTCCAACATTGCCACCTGTTGCTGTTTCATATTGTAGCTGCTACTAAAAGGAATAAAAACATTTAAAATCAGCCTTTTGACTTTCAATGAAGTAGTGAATTAAATCAAACACACACCTTGTGCAAAAATTATTATTTTACTATTTAGTTGAAGTACACAAACACAATCTGCACACAACCCAAAATAAATAAATTCCTTCAGTTAAAAGTAAGTAAATCAAAGAGTAGGCTAAGGGTTAACTGAAGCAAGCACTGAGAATGCACTCTAATTCTAAACAACAACAAAAATCTGAATATATAATGGCTAAATAGCCAATGGGATTTCTGATAGTCCTGAGTAATAGCTAAACAACTTAACATGTATATTTTTGTTTTAAAAATAAATTAGAAAATTGTTAATAAAAAAAAACATTGGTAATAGAGGTGTATGCAGTGCAGCAAGCATATAATGGGTTATGTCATCCTTAACAGTAACCTGTAACCACAACGTACTGGCTTCTCCTCCTTTCAGTAACGACTGGGGTTCAGGATTGGATCTCTGGAAAAGAAACACAGAACAGGTCAAAAGATTGTCAGACACAAACCAGAATGGAATACATGGAATACGAATGCACAAGTAAAGAATCTTAAGTCTATTGGACACAGACACTTTGAGGTGTTTGCGCGCAGTGTTGACATACAGTTATGTTTGTAAGAATGTAACAACCAATCACAGAACGAGATTCAAGACTTTGCTTTATCTGGAAAGATTTTTGGGGACACATATGATACATGAAATTCTCTCAGAGCACTGCATGACATTGGATCAATTAATATATTTTTTTGCCAGTATACCATAGGCTTTTTTTGATTTGTCATTATCGATACTAACCTTCCCTGTGGAGTACTTCCTGATGATTTCATTTGTCAGGATGGTATTGAAGGTTCTGCAGACCAGAGACAGGTTCCAGTTGCCTCTCTTCCCCTCCACACACAGCACATCCCGGAAGATCCATACCAGTGACTCCAGAGGAAGCTGCAAGCAACTGAATCAATTCAATGCCTTCAGTGTTTTAATTGCCTATATCGACTAAGTGTTTGTCGTTGAACCAGAGGACAGGAAAGTCACTAAGTAGGCTACATGTCAAACTCTATAAGACATTTATGGGTGATTCCTCACGAAACTAGAACAAAAAATTATGATTTGGGGGATTTTCACTAAATGTTATCCATAGAAGGGTCCTTTGGAGGAAGGATTGTTGATATATATTTGACATTTGTATCTTTAAGCATAATCGAGAAAACTAATTATAGTTGGAATATTTGACATTTTGGCCTTACACAGGCCTCATTTAAGACTCCATAATATTTTATCTGTAGGTGCAACAAGCCAATAGATGGTGTCATATGAAGCTATACTGTGTGCACTGTCATATGAGAAGTATTTTGATGTCAATAACACATTTCTTACATACATTTATGAATATAGAAAAATATCAACATGAATATTGAAAATATACCATTATTGATTAGGCAAATATTTCAGTATATTGTTGAACATAATACACTATGGGCATATCAAAGATACAGAGTGCGATCTCTGCAACTTTTAGAGTTTATAAACACATTTCTAAGCATTACCAACAGAGTGAATGTGAAAATGGATTCAAAATGGTCACCCTCTGATTTGCAGGATGTGCAATGACACGTAAAAGGAGGGCTGTGATTGGTTACATTGTCTACTATGCCAATGTATCTGTATAAAAGGGGACATAACTTTAAAGCTAGCAGAACTTTGAATTATGTTGGAAAATAAAATTGAAAAACGCCACAGAGGTATACTTTCAATATTCATGTTTATATTTGTAAATATTCATAAATGAATGCAAGAAATGTGTTATTGCAATCAATATACTACTCATATCACAGAGCAAGCAGTAAAGTTGTATATGACACCAAATGTTGCTTTGTAGCACCTACAAATGAAACATGGAGTCTTAAAAGGAGGCCTGGGTAAGGCCAAAATGTCACAAATATTCTAACTTCAAATAATTACTTCTCAATTATGCTATAAGATACAAATGTCAAATATATGTCAACAATCGTTCCTCCAAAGGACCCTTCTATGGATTACATTTCGTGGAAATCCCCAAAATCATCATTTTTTTGTTCTAGTTTTGTGAGGAATCATCCTTATAAGTATATTTATTATATAAATGGTAATCTAAATGTTATTTTCAGTAGCATCATGAACAGAGAATCAAAAACAGAGTGAGCGGTTTCAAATGCTGATATCAGGAAGGTGATGTTCTGCCTGTTTTAGGGGAGATAAATCTACAGGTACTGTATTTACCTCCAGGAGATGAGGTTTCCCCAGACCAGGGTACCTGTGGGGATTCTGGGAATAAAGAAGAGGTGAGTGAGTAGCTTGGTTCTAGAGTGCTGGTGCACATCCTAACCTGTTTAGCCTACTAAAAACATAGTCAGAATGGAAAGGAATAAACCAGAGAATTCTGATGGAATGGGTTCTAATTCTATTCATTCTAATTCTGGGACTCAAAAACTCATTGCAACTGTGAATAGACAAGGGTTTTCCTATGCAGAATATGATGGGAAAGGTAAAGGGGTATCAAGATGGCTTTATTGAACTCTCTACAAATCCAACCATATTAAACCCTGTATAAACACAACCATTGACAGTCTACCATTCAGTCAGCACTCTCTCTCCTTGCAACTGCTGGGTCGCCAGGTCCGTTTCCACGTGCCAGGAGTGCGCTGGCCTCCGGGAACCCTGAGCCTTCCTCCTCCTCTTCTCTGCGTCCAGGTACGAACAGAGTCGAACAACGATCTCTCGACCACCAACAGGCCTTGCTCGCCAGGCACCTGTCCAGAGCTTCCTGAATTCTTAATTACTGTTCTTTCACCGATATGAATTCCCTTTCCATCTTTACAGCCTATCAGTCTGATAGGGAATCCATCTTGTTGACAGGTTAATGGAAATGAAGTCTTAATTATTTTACTTCGGTTAACCACTGCACCGATACAAATTCATAAGGATGTAGCCTAGCGGTTATGAGCGTTGAGCCATTAACCGAAAGGTCGCAGGTTGGAATCCCAGAGCCAACCACGCTGAAAAATCTGTCGACGTGCCCTTGAGCAAAGCACTTAACCCTAATTGATCTTGTAAGTCGCTCTGGATAAGAGCGTCTGCTAACTGACTAAAATATGTTTAAAATCTTCACCTGTAATAACATACATTATCAATCCACTCTGGACCAAGCATCAAGCCAGTTGAACTTAATACACAACCACTACACACAGAGGGAAGTGTTCAATGTGGAAACCCATCCAAACTGAAAAACACACAGAACCAGTATTCATATGAAAACCCCAGTAGTGTTGAGATTACCCTTACAACTAGGGCCAAGAGTTTTTCCCTGGTCTGGTCACGTGGTGAGGAAAAACTCCTGGTACTGCCTATAATTACACTGGAGGAGTAATGTGAAGTTGCCCCTAGATGCTGATCTTGGATCAGTTAAAAAAAAAATTATACTAATGGTTAAGGTTAGGATTGTGGGAGAGGAAGCTGATCCTAGATCTGTGCCTAGTTGAAACTTCACCCTGGAACACTTACGGCAGCCCAACGTCCTGTGGCCTGCCGCCAGTGTGGACGAGGAGGTGCTTCTTCATGTGGCAGGACTGGGTGAAGCACTTCCCGCAGTAGACACATTGAAACGGTTTCTCTCCAGTGTGCACCCTCTCATGCCTCTTCAGCTGGTGGCTGTGGGAGAAAGCGCTTGGTGCAGTGGCTGCAGCCGTACGGTTTCTCCCCCGTATGGACCCGCATGTGCCTGCTTAGGTACGCCTGGGGGAAGGTCTTCCCGCAGAGGCTGCACCGGAGATGTCTCTTGGCAGAGCGAGACGTTAGCTGTTGTGGCTGCTTTTCTATGGCTTTTGATGAAGAAGTGGAGCCTCTGTTGAAATTCGGGAAGGGGGCTTGCTTCCCTCTTTGGGGAACCTGGTGGAGAGTAACCCTTGGGGATGAAAAGCTGTTTCGGGTGGACAGTCCATTGAAATCTGGCAACTTGGACCTTGATCCTACAGTTGTCCCTTGCTCTGTGTTTTGAGTGTCAGTGGGACACTTTGTCTGTCCAGACTCCATTCCCCCTCTTCCTCTGTTGTCCACAAGCTGCCTGCCCTCTGAACAGACCTCTCCAGATGTGGCCTCTTGACCCGTCCATTCTGAACTCATATCTGCCTCCACTTTAATAGGAACCGAGTCCACCAGCACCACATCAGGCAGCCAGTCCATAGAGCCCAAAGCAGACATGCAGACCCCAGAGTTACCAGGTGCCCCTCTCCTCTCTGGATGTTCAGACAGCCTCTTGGAGTCTGGCCCTGCATTGTGAGGAGCATTCACAGTTCGGTTGTCAGTCTCTTGGTTCTCTCTCCATTGAGACAGTCTGTATGCCATGGGTTGATGGTCAGTTTCCCAGGTCACACACTCAGCACCCTGATGGTCCTGTCTTTCACTGTTGTATGGTGACGCTGGATGCTGGAACGTCTGGTTTTCAGGTTCTATATTGAGTGCGGTGTCTGGAGCGCTGTGTCTGTTGCCCTGCTGGTCCAGAAGGTATGTGGTTTCAGTAGATGACGAAGAACCTGGTTCTTCCACAACGGTCTTCTCACTGCTCTCACTGACCGGTTGGACAATCTCTGAAATGGGGCAAAGTAAAGCACAACATCAGCTTCCTGTAGTGGAGACTGATTCTTCTTTGCCTTATTTATTAATGATGGGTAATGACTAAGAAGTTAATCAAATACTGCAATAAACATTGACGGCTTCACTCAACATAAAGTGTAAATTGCATAGATTTGATAAGTTGCATAAAAATACCTTCTGTTCTACTGGTGTCAAGGTTCTCCATTTTGACAAGAGTTTCCTCTTGCATATCTGACATCTGTGTTTTGTATTCATCAGAAACATTTTATTAGAAACATATCCCCAACACCATTTGAAATATGAGAACCCAAATAATCAATTTGACCATGTCTATGACAACTGACCTGCATGCCCCCATCCTGGTCTGTCGCTGTGCGTCCTGAGTCTCTCCAGTTGGTGACATCCTGCATAAAGTTGCCCCCTTCAATGTCGTCAAAACGATTCTTCACTGCACCAGAAAAGAAGAAACCCTCATAAACGTTATATATTCTACATTAACAATTATTTTGAACGTGTTTAAATAAGGTAAAAAACCTACAATATTTGATTTCTGTTGATTTCCCTACAAAGCTCTCTCTTCCCCGGGCAACATGATCGGTGTCCACTCGCCTGTGAACTGTGCGTCGCAGGGCTCCGAATCTCTCTGCGCCCCGTCGAGAATTCTGAAATTTGGTCAAAAGCAGCTTCCTCCGCAAGTTCTCGATTTCTTTCTGGCTATGGGAAATTTCCAAACGTAAGGCAGCATGGCCGTCATCTACAAGTTTGCAGATTTCGGCAACGGCTGCATTCGCCAAAACCTCGACAATGGAGGCTAGCTGAGCATGAAAGGCAACGGTATCGGTCATGTCCTTGGCACTATGTCTATGTTAAACACTTATGTTATAGTAATTTGCATTGCAGTGTAGAGTCAACGTATTGAGACTACACAGTTCACACCATAGAATGTATCCTTCACACACGTATCTTTTTTTTTTGTCTGTTTTGTTCCACTACTTCCTGGATCGTTCTTCAAAATAAAAAGGTTGGCTTTTCAAAATAAAGGTTGGTTACACACGCACGATTTACCTTGGTTCAAATGTCCAACACTGCCACCTGCTGCTGTATCATATTGCTGCCGCTATTAAAAGGAATCAAATGGTTAAAAAAATAACCTCTGCCTTCTGACTTTCAGTTAAGTGAATACAAAAATAAAAAGCACACTTTGTCCTCCAAAAATGATTTTACTATTTAGTTCAAGTACAAAAATAGAGTATCAGCATACAACCTGAATTTAAGAGGAATAAATACATTTCTTCAGTTAAAGTAAATCAAAGAGTAGGCTAAGGGTTAGTAGTCTCAAAACTAACTGCACCACACTGAGAATGCACTCTGACTCTGAACAATGTAACAGTAGAAAGATTTTTAAAAATCTGAATATAGAAATGATAAATAGCCAATGGGATTACTGATAGTCCTGAGTAATAGCTAAACAACATTCAGGATATATATATATTTTTTACAATAAATTAGAAAACTGTATAAAAACAAACATTGCTAACTAGATGGTAACTTTACATTAAGTAAAGTTATGGGGCTTGCTTTAGATCCTTAAAGTAGAAGTTGAAAAAGTTTTACATTACTATTTCAAGCAAAGCATTTAAATAGTAAAGTAGTGAATTAGGAAAGTTTTCAGACCCCTTGACTTTTTCCAAAATTTTTTACGTTACCAGGCTTATTCTAAAATGGATTAAAAATAAATCCTCAATCTACACACAATACCCCATAATGACTAAGCAAAAACTGGTTTTTTAGAAACTTTTGATAAAAATATACAAAATTAAATATTACATTGACATAAGTATTCAGACCCTTCACTCAGCACTTTGTTGAAGCACCATTGGCAGTGATTACAGCCTCGAGTCTTCTTGGGTATGACGCTACAAGCTTGGCACATCTGTATTTGGGGAGTTTCTCCCATTCTTCTCTGCAGATCCTCTCAAGCTCTGTCAGGTTGGATGGGGAGTGTCGCTGCACAGCTATTTTCAGGTCTCTCCAGAGATAATCGAGCAGGTTCAAGTCTGGGCTCTGGCTGGGCCATTCAAGGACATTCAGATACTTGTCCGGAAGCCACTCCTGCGTTGTCTTGGCTGTGTGCTTAGGGTCGTTGTCCTGTTGGAAGGTGAACCTTCGCCCCAGTCTGAGGTCCTGAGCGCTCTGGAGCAGGTTTTCATCAAGGATCTCTCTGTACTTTGCTCCGTTCACCTTTCCCTCGATCGTGACTAGTCTCCCAGTCCCTGCCTCTGAAAAACATCCCCACAGCATGATGCTGCCACCAACATGCTTCACCGTAGGGATGGTGCCAGGTTTCCTCCAGATGTGACACTTGGCACTCAGGCCAGAGTGTTCAATCTTGGTTTCATCTGACCAGAGAATCTTGTTTCTCATAGTCTGAGTCCTTTAGGTGCCTGTCAGAATGACCATCGGGTTCTTGATCACCTCCCTGACCAAGGCCCTTCTCCCCCGATTGCTCAGTTTGGCCGGGTGGCCAGCTCTAGAAAGAGTGTTGGTGGTTCTAAACTATTTCCAATTAAGAATGATGGAGGCCACTGTGTTCTTGGGGACCTTCAATGCTGCAGACATTTTTTGGTACCCTTCCCTAGATCTGTGCCTCGACACAATCCTGTCTCAGGGCTCTACGGACAATTCCTTCGACCTCATGGCTTGGTTTTTGCTCTGACATGCACTGTCAACTGTGGGACCTTATATAGACAGGTGTGTGCCTTTCCAAATCATGTCCAATCAATTGAATTTACAACAGGTGGACTCCAAGTTGTAGAAACATTAAGGATGCTCAATGGAAACAGGATGTACCTGAGCGCAATTTCTAGTCTCATAGCAAAGGGTCTGAATACTTATGTAAATAAAGTATGGTTTTTATTTTGAATACATTTGCATAATATTTTCAAAACCTGTTTTCGCTTAGTCATTATAGGGTATTTTTTGTGTGTAGATTGACAAGGGAAAAAATTAATGCAATCCGTTTTAGAATAAGGCTGTAGCGTAACAAATGTGGAAAAAGGGAAGGGGTCTTAATACCTTCCGAATGCACTGTAGTCAAAGTTACATTTAGTAAAACAATTGGTCTGATTACTTTGAGACTACTATATCAACCTTATTGCTTAGCATTGTGGGGCAGTTAGATCACAAACATGTCTAAACTACAGTTGAGGGTGAAAACTAAAAGAAGAAAGATTATGGACAAAGAGATCTGTCAGAAGATGGGAACAAAAGGCAGGATCATGTGGATCAACACTCTTAGGAAAGCAAAGCAACTCAATCATCCATGCTGGAGGTTTCAGTGATGACAGCTCTTTAAAAGTATTTTTGTGGTAGTTGAACTATGTATAATAGGTTTGTATGTAGACCAACTGATAGCTAGCTGTAGTTCTATCTAATAAATAAACTATTTAGGCTAACAGTGATCACCATTTCAGCTTGAATAACAGCGAAGTAGAGGAAGATGTCATCCACTAAGTTTCTGTCTCACCTGTTGGGTAAGTGGTCAGAGGTTTGAATTAAAAGTAAAGCAGAAAGGCATGACATTTTAGGCCGAGCTCTACCCATGCCGGTGACGTTCAGGCCCTAACCTACCTGCGCCCGATTGCTCAACCCGAAATTAGAAACACAGTAACTTCCTCCGTTAGTATCAATAGCTGATCTCGGTCCGTCACTTGCTTCCTGCGCTGCCCCATGCGCTCCTCTGCTTGTGTGAGTACCCATAGCAATGGCTACATTAGGGCTGCTCAATGACGAGACACGAGAGAGCTGTTAGCTTGCGTTAGCCAGCTACTTTTTGTCCCTCTAAACTCTGACATAGAGCTGTAACTTTGATTGGTATGCTCATGTATGCACATTCATATAGTTATAGTTGATCAATGTTTTAATGATTTGAAGATAGGATGGCCTGAACATGTGAAAGTTGGTTTGGTGTCTCTAGCTTGAACGGTTCAAGAGTTGCTGTTGCAGAGTTATTTTATGCAAATGCTTATAGTTAGTCGATAACAGTTTTAAAGAAGATTATGGATTAAGATTAAAGAATTTGAAGTTAGGATAGCCTGAATGTTTTAAAGTTGGTCTTGTAGCTTAATTTGCCAAGGTGCAAGACCATTTTGAATAGCTACCTCTGTATTTCTATGGTTCTCATTCAAACTAATGTTAATTTATGCACATTTTTATTGGTTATAGTTCAAAAAGTATATGTAGTATCAAAATATTTTGACAAGCAATCTAAGTAGGGTGTCTGAACATCTCAACGTTGGTTTGGAGTTGACATCTTAAATGGTGAAAGAGGAGATACTTTAGGTCTAGATTTTTTTTCTTTATTATTACCGTTCTAGTCTATGGCCCCTTTTATTGTCATTGAAATGCATTGGTATCCATAGCAACAGCCCCGTTTAGGCTGCACAACAACTAGACTTGAGGGAGCTGTTAGCTGATGGTAGCTAGCTGCTTTTCGTCACTCTAAACTCAAACAGCTGTAACTTTTGACTGTTAGTAGATAATTATGTTCTGCTTCCAGATTTGAATACCAATGACGTAGACCAAGATGTAATGCCCTATACGTTTTTGTCTAAAGTGCTGGAAAAGTGGTCAATGTTGCGGATGTATGCAGTGCAGCAATCATGCAGCAAGTATATAATGGTTTATGTCATCATTCACAGTAACCACAATGTACTGGCTTCTCCTCCTTTCAGATACTACTGGGGCTCATGATTTGCCTGGCTACCCAGACTCCTTGCTCCGGCCAAACCCTAAGCCACGCCCACAGACGTTTCTTCTCGACAATGAGTCTGGATCAGAGTACCTCTCTGACCCTTCACCGAATGCGAACACATTCGGGGCCGTCTGATTGGTCTAGAAAACGGTGGGTTGGGCCAGAGCCAAAACACACGTGATTAAAGCTGCGGTTTGAAAATTCGTCATTGGCTTGGATAATCTGATTGGTTAAAGATGATCCAGTCGCTGATGACTATTTTGTACAATACCCCTCGTATCCCTCACCACCACAAACGACTTCAATGATGGCAGTCTCAGACTAAAGTATGTGGCGAACGACAGAGCAGCGGAAGAATTTGGTGTGAGTCCCAGACTAGCTCAGAATCGGATCTCTGGAAAAGAAACACAGAACAGGACAAAAGACTGTCAGACAAACCAGAATGGAATACGAATGCACAAGTAAAGAATCTAAAGCCTATGGGTCAGACATTTTTTTTAGGTGTTTGCGCGCAGTGTTGACATACATTGTTACAAACATCATTGTCACAACCAAATCATGGAATGACATTTGAGACATTGCATTATCTGGAAAGATTTTTTGGGAAAAGTATGGTACAAATTTTGAAATTCTCCTCAGAGCACTACATGACATTGAATCAATGAGTTACTCTCCAAAAAAATTGCCTGTGTCCC